AGAGCCGGCTCATGCTGATTTGAAGGCAAGAGGTTTTTGGAAGATGAACCTTCCACAATGTCTTCGCATCATCCCCGTATCTAAGCACGTGCCCGCAAAGGACCGGAACCGGGAGCTGGTAATGTCTCAACTTTAAGGGACATTCTCCTAGGAGTGAGAAAGACCTGACAGGAACAGACAGACAAGCTGAACGGTTTACAGTTTCCTCGAGTCGCTGAGAATGCGGAAGTAATCTCAGACTTGCAAAGCAACCAGCCGCCCTCTCTACCGGAAGCAAAACGGACTTTTGAACAGATGTCTCGATACCCACGTAGACTGCTCGGAACTTAGCCAATTTACGCGGAAAGCCGTTTAGGAGGACAAGGTAAGTGGGCTGCCAAGCATCAATCTGCATATATGCAGGCGGACTTTCTTTACGCCGTCAACCAACATGGTATTATAGTCCAAATCAATCTGATTGTTTATGATGCTGGCGGACAGAAGAGCACTCCTTTCTGAGAAAACTCATGCGGAGAGGCATCAGAAGCATGCAGAATCGCCTGCACCTACGAAAGTAGGGCCGAATGGAAGCGCCTTCCCTGCCAAGAAGGTTCAAGTTTATACACGGACAGTCATCGCAAGCCACTCTATTGTAGCAAGTACATCTTGGCAACGCAACCTGGACTTATTCTTAGCCTAAGCGCGCAACAATCCATCAAAGCGACAGTGCATGCTGCAGTTACGCTTGAAGAGCTTTCCAGCAACCATGCTAGGTGTCTAAACATGAAAAGCTATTCGGCTCCTTAGACGATTGTGTCCCTGCCACGCTGTGGACAATTCTTGCGGTGGCATTGACGTCGCCAATGTTCATTGCCGCATCTTGAGAGGATAACATGAAGCGACTGGCCCGGTACTTTTGCCAAAATGACGAATATCTAAGCGGACGTTGAGAAAGGAGGAGGATGCTTTCCCAGCCCGTCGAAGCTAGTTTCATTCGAAATGCCCAGAAGCTCGTCGCAGGTGTCTCGTTGCTCGATCTTCGACCTCAGCAGGTCGTGACCAAGGACACACAACGCTCCCTAAGCCTTCTTTCCTTCGAGGTTGAAAGCAGGATCTGACCTAAACAACATTTAATCAGTCGAAGAAAGTTCCAGAACTTGGAAAGCCCCGATAAGACGTCGTTGGCACACCCACAACTGCGGTATGTGTAACAAAACTGGATGAGTGGAACATTAATTGCAAACCCGAGCTAGTTCCTTTTGGATACACGTTTTGCCTGGCTCTCTCCTTAGGCGTAAACCGGATTGAACAAAAGACTCTCAGTAGTATTGTGCAGACTCGTGGGTTAGCCAACTAAAGACCAGGTCACCTTCCACGAAAGGAGTGGCCCCACTTTTCGTGAATACAAAACCGCAATAAGAAGCGGCCTCATTGTCAATAAACGATACTCAAGAGCGAGCGGCATCTTCCAAGAATTCACTCCACAACTGAGCTTGTAAAGCTCGAGTCGGGCCGGGTCCTTGCCGCAACAGAGTGTCACGGCAACCTACGAAGCCTTCCGAAAAGCAGATGGTAAGAGAGTCGCAAGGTCTTCAATTGGAAAAGAAACTGAAAGAGGAGCTCATATGCAGCACTTTGCACGGTCGTAGCTTAAGGAACAATTGACCACAAAGCGGCCAAAAAGTTAACAGCGCTCAAAGCAGGACCAAATCAAGGAAAAAGCAGCGTGGCGCAATTGCATCACCTTACTCGGAAGCAAGTGTACCGACAGGAAAGGAGCGGTACTGATTCCCGTTGTGCATGAGTAGGTTAGCAGCATAGCATTCAAGCCCAAGGCCGGAAAAGTAGGAACATCCGCTCACGTCCTCATCTCAACAAATGAATCCCCATGATAGACAGCCTGTCCACGATCAGCAGCAATTTCGGTTTAAAACGCATCAGAAGCAGTTGATCCCATATTTAGCTAGCAATGCAAGCTCAGCTCTGCGGGTTGCCGTCTTCGCCCTTGCGAGTAATCTGCACTTCAAAGCGGTGGTAACTTCGACCAATAGAAACTTGTCGGTTTTAAACACTTCAGCCTAAGAAATACCCAGAGTCTGTATCCCGTTCATGCATCGAACGATATCTGAAGAAGAAATTAGGAATCGACTGAACAAAGGCCGCTTGAGAACGGTGGCTTCGAGCAGAATCTGAAGGTCTGGAAAAGGAAGACAGACAACGCCGTTTCTGTCTGTGTTTTGAACAATGAATAAGCAGAGCCTGAGCAGCGGCATCCGGGTGACGCTGTTCTGTTGTTGAGCTGATACAGCTCGAAGATTTTACCGTCCTTGCCGAAATCCGTAAATTGACTTTCAGCTTATTCAAATGACTTCAAGACTCTCGACAACTGCTTAGATGGGTCTTCTCAACCGGATACGGGTACACGACCTTCGTCGTTGGACTTCGGAGTTGCATTTGAGCTCGCAGACGATGTTGCAAGGATGCTCTCTATGAAGTTCAGGTCTCCACACCATGACAAATCGGGGAATCGGGGACATGTATACAGCGGAATGTGCGATGGTGGAAATGTATACGGGGAATTCTATGTTTGAAGACCGTCATCAAACAGCACGCAGCCAGGACGCGTTTTGTTGAACATCAACGACCCCGCTGCTTCTTTCAAGCGGCAAAAGCAGCAAGGACAGGATTCAAGAGCATAAAGTCATTACGTTAGGATCTGAGATAACCACAATTGGCGTCCCCATGCCTAATCGTGAAGTGGGCAACAGAAACATAAGGCCGAACGGGCTGGACAACCAAAAACAGGCACAAGAAAGGAAGGTCGCAAAGGATGCTGCGAGAAAGTCAACATGCTGCCAAAGCAGATCATTGAAAAAAGCACCGTAGATGTGCAACTGAGAAGGTATCCAGGCGGCTCTGAATCCTGAATGCTTCACAAACAGCCTCTTAATCGGAGCTCACAGCTCATCGAAACAGCTTTTCAAGTACTCACGCAGGAACACAAGCAGACTGGAGCCGATTGTTGGATGCTTCTAAAGTGAGTCGGAGCCGACCTACCAAGTCAGTGCATAGAGATGCTCACTTCGAATTCGTCTCAATGAATTCAACTGCGATCGACATTCGACAGGTTGTGCAAACTCAGCTCCTCTGAAGACTGAAAGTACGCGGTAAACGTGAAAAGCACCTTACAGCGTCACGAAGACGGTGGGTAAATCTCCTCATGCTCGGCCTTTGCTCGCTCTCACGAGATGCGCACTCCTCAGGTGCTGCGACCTGGTGGACCAATGAGTCGGCTCCTGGATCGAAGGATTGACAGAGGTTAGGCCACTCTTCTCTGCATGGTCTCAGCTTCTTTGTTTGCATTGAGCAGAACAAACAAACCACTTACCAAGAGCATGCGTTCCGAAAGCACTTAGTCAGGGGTGTCGTCAGCCGATGTGTGTGTTGGAGCAGCATCTGAGAAGTAAGCGCTTGCTGACCCGTTGTGGCATAACTAGAGTGCTCATCCTTAATCAGATAAGAATTGAAACTTCAAAGCCACATTGGAACTCTGATGGCAACAGACATTTGGTTCGAATCTGGCGCTGCTTGGTAGACTCAAGACGGGGAAACCACGTCTTGACAGGCAAGAAAGGCACGGCTGTTTGCGCGGAGTATGCGATTAAACGCGGATGCTCAGAGGGGGGTCTGCATGATCAGTCCAAGAAAGTCCACTTTAGACCAGACAACTTTCAAAAGCCATAATGGTCCAGATGAGAACCAGTGCAGAGCAAAGCTTCAAGGACCTCCAGAATGCGGAGTCACAGCCTCGTTACATCTTCCCATGGAAATCTGACATAGAACTTACCCAAACCGACAAGTATGAAGTGACCCAGGAGCTCTGAAGCGACCGGACATCAACAAGGCCATACACAGTGGGCCAGGGGCTCCTTAAGTCGAAACACCCACAGATCCCATGTTCACCTGGCTCCTGAAAAATAGGGAGAAGCATTAGGAAGATAGAAGGCACATCTTCCCAGGGAACGGGTATGATAGACTTTAGGAATAGAGAAAGAGCGTTTCAGCAGCTAGTGCTGATCCGAAGAAACGGGAAATCCGAGTCACATGCTACTTTGAGAATAAGAAAAACCATACATTCAAGCTAAAAATCTGCCCTAGGAACGATTTAAAAGCCTTTCCATGGTCCCATGCTGCAACACAATCTTTGCCACCATTAGAAGGGAAGGGAACACATACTTTAGAGCAATTCGCATGCTTTTCAATGCCTGCCCCATGCCAGGATTGCATCAGCCAAGTTTACAAGCGGCGATGCGCGCGTCGAATTGGGAGTACAACTCAAAACCCTGAGGCTGCAGCATACAACACGCCACCGTGCTGAAGATTTTGACAGGACCGCTGATGGCCATGTGGCCACATAGACCTGTTTCAAGCAATTGCTTGAAGCCGATTCCTCACCTGACAAGGTCAGCTGCTGAATTTCCCCAGCATGATTCGAAGATGCCGCCACAACTCCAACAGACGTAATTCTGCATCCTTGGGCGCCAGCTGTCTTCCTAAAGCTCCAGCCCTGGCACTCGGCCTCTACGCCTTATTGCCCGCCACATAGAAGGAGAGTCCTTGTTTACTCGAGCTGCCTTCTGGATGGCAACTTCCTTTGCCATCGTTTAGTTGAAAGCCTGTCCGAATCCTAGGAACACAATGTCAATTGCAGCCATTTGACAGAGCTGGCGAATGAGGTCCCTGACATCAGATGAACACTTCAAAACAGCATCTCAGCTGCAAACAAATGCCACCTAGCTCCATCTTTCGCTCTAGCTCCTCCACGAAGCTCCTCCACAGCCTTCTGAATCAGAAAAAGTTGGAAATCCCAATTCTGAATTCACTTCCGTGGCTTGAGCAGCGAGCTGAGAATCAGATGTGGCAATTCTCGCTGCTCAAGCTACAAAAAGTCCGAAAGGGCGACAGACTACGGTATACGGTGGGTCTATTCTGTCGCCGGGTACAAGCAAGACGTGGGTTGCGATCGAGGGATGCACTGGCCAGGCTGAAAAGCTCTCGAAAAGCTTGCTTGTGAAGTTCCTCAGAGGTGGTCGCAAGGGCGTCAGGGTCTGCGCCTGCTGTGATAGATCTATTTTGATAGCCTCTTGGCACCTTTGCAGCGCGATGGACGGCAACAAGGATGACGCGGAACGCTGTGCTGACATTGGGGAAGCTGCATTTAGAAAAGGGGATTTTAATAAGGCGCTAAAGTTTCTGGGGAAGGCGCAGAAGCTTTATCCGTCGAAGAGAGTAAGCGTTTACTTCTTGACAGCTGCAGATCTCCTCCTGTGACACTTTCAGGAAAACATTGAGTAGCTCCATGCCAAATTTCATCGATCAGGAGAATTTGGGCAGGTTGTGCAGTTTTGATTTAGCAAGCACAACCGCTGAAGTGTTTGCTTTCCTACATGAGCCTCAGTAATGAAACAAGCAATATTGGTACATTTATAGCTGATGCAGCTGGAGGCTCCAGTCCGGCGCTCCTTGTGGAGGGTTTTCTGAGTCTACTGAATTGTGGATCTTCGGAGCTTGTTTGTTGATGGCTGAACACTGTGCAGCTTGTTCATGAGCTTTCAACATAGTTTTTGTTACCTCCAAATCATTTTAGTTGATTTAAGTCCGTGCCATGCCAAAAAGTTGCCACCATATCGTCACTAGATTCTCCATTTTGTGGATTAGCTCTCAGTCAAATAAAATAACTTACTTTTACGATGTCATTTGCGAATATGACAGTCAGCAGTGATTGTTCAACACAATCCTTGTCTGGTGCTTTAGACTTTATTGAAATGTAATGAGGACGTTCACTCACGGAACATTAGCTTTCGCGTTAGCTTTCATGAAAAACGTTGATGGCAGCAGCTTTTCTTTTGAGCTTTTTGATTTTACCTTCAAATTGTGAGGTCAGTGTATCATGCGGTGCCACAAAGAAAATATCAGCCCCATCTATGTGAGTCACTTAAGCGGTTGTGGATTATTATCGGTAAACACAAATCAGATCTGAAACCCTAAAGAAACACCTATGTGTGCTCTGGATGGCAACATTTCAAGATACCGCTCTGATGCAACTGGATGTTCTGCAGGTGGGGTATCATGCGTTAGTGAATTCTACGATTCACCGACTCCAGTGATACATCTTCTGCTTCTCAATAAGTTCTGTTGAATGTCAAACAAATGGGTGTAACATGCAATGACAGCCTCCTTCGTGTCCAACGTATCCCACGAACAAAGTAGCTAATGAGGATGCTGACTCCAAATTTCAATCTGCTTGTTAGTCTGAGTTCTTCTTACGCTGTCCAATCCTTTCCTCTAGGTTGCTGACCTCCTCCTTAAGGTCGCGGCTGCATCGCAAGCAGCGGAGAATGGAGCGAGCGCAGGGCCGTCCAGTAGCACTGGGCCTCAAACCCGATCAGCATCACGGCCGCAGGCGAACGGGCATGCAGCGGGCCCCTCGACGCGACAAAGGACCGCAGCTAGCGGGGACAGGACAGCGCAGGAGGAAAGAGAGGTGAGAGGATGGGATGGAAGGTTGGTGCAGATGTTGGAACCACTCAGTGATCGGTTGTCATCGATTCTGTTTTGAGTTGCCGAGGTTATGAATGAAGTGATTGCCACAATTTCGTGAAGTGGTTTTAGGACTTCTCTGGCGCGATCTGGAGCACTAGCGAATATCTGGACTGGGATGTTTGTTGGATGTGGAGATGGATGTGCAGCTTCCTGAAATTACTTCTGGCAAGTCTTCTGGTTCTGTTGTTATCTTACCCCCAGCACATAGAGGTTTTAGGTGGTCCCATCCTAGTAGTCCTGGCCAAAGTCGTGCTGTTTTCGACGCTTTAACTCTCCCAGAGTTTGATGGTAGTTTTGCAAGATTGTCAAACTTAGGCCTTCATTATAAGGTGTCGGTCCCATCAGTCCCGTTGGACCCACGAAATTTTGAGATACACGCTGGCGAGGTTACTACTCCCCCTTGCCGGTGCTGATCCGATTTGTCGTGCTTTTGGCGGAGCTCACGGTGTCATTTGTTTGTTTGGTCTGCGTTTGCTGCCCCTAGTTGCTGCCTCCCTTGTCTAAGTACTGATTCCATTTCCGCGACTGTACCCTTGTTTGCGGGACACTCTGTGACCGAGTCCGCTAGTCTTTCCTAGCGTGTTCGAGTACATAGCTCATTCTGCCACTGCGCAACTAAACTGGCGCTGATCGCTACTCGCGCTTCACTTCGAGCTTCCCCTTAGACCCGGCGCTTTTTGTATTGCTACTCACTATGACGCTTCGCTTCCAGGCACAAGCCACGCCGGAGATGATATCATTGGTTGCACGAATCAAGCGCACAACAAACTATTACGAGATTCTGGAAGTATCGAAGGAGTGCACAGAAGATGACGTCAAGAAAGCTTACAGAAAGGTGAGCCGACTTGTCGAGGTGGCCATTTAGTGACCATCTTATGCAAGAAGCAGTTGCTCGTCTGAGAACATCACTCGGACGAGACTCCGGTTCAACCGTCAGATATGTTCATCCAAAAGGCAATTCTTGCTTGCATACCTGTTGGGCGGCTCAAAAAACGCCTGCAAAAGTCTCACATAGCCTTGTCCTATATAATGACAGTCGGGTCCTCAACTGCAGGTTCTCATCAAGATTCCGTATTTTGTCGTTACATTCTATTACTTGACATCCCTGACCCTCCAGATACTGTGCAAGTTTTTCACGTTCGAAAGTTGCTCTGCTCCGGTCCGATAGTCTCCTTGGAATGGAGACCCTTTAAGGTGTTCTTACCTTGGACTTGGCCCTCGTTGCTGTCTCTACGACAAGACAACATGCGCCGCGCCTGATGACCACTCTTCGGATGTTATGCAGCTAGCCTTGAAACTCCATCCGGACAAGAATAAAGCCCGTGGTGCTGACGAAGCTTTCAAGGGTGAGTGCTTACAGAGAAAACGCGGGCATACTCGTCTCTGTGGCCACCTGAACGTTGAGGAAGACGATACGCTGTGGAAGTCTGCAATGTCTTTCAATTGCTTGAATTGAGGATACTGCCAAGTCTCAGAAGACTTGGCAGTATCAACTTTGCAGACGAAGATTTCCAGGAAAGCTTGAGGAGAGTTCAACGTTAGAGTTGAAGGAGAAGGTCTCGATTTGCTGCGGCGCATGATTGGCACGGTCGTTCAATCCTTTGATTCGGTCACTCTCCCAACTTTGCTGTGAGCGGTTTCTCCGGAGCGTTCTTTACGCGTTCGCTCAAACTTTTTTGTTTCTTTGGACAAAATTACGGGTTCGTTGCTTTCCTTGTGGCAAGCATATTGCAGCTTTACAGGATCATTACTACCCATAAACTTCGTAATTCTACCTGCCTCCTTAGAAGATTGGAGTTGAGGAACACGTACAGTCAGTACGGTTTGACCACTTTTCAGCATTGAATAAGTGCTCAGTGCTGCCTTTCTTTGAATCTCTTTCCGTCTTCCACCTGACTCATCAAGACCCCAATTTTCCGGCTTTCCTCCGCAGCTTTGTCAAAGGTCTTCCAGTGTCTCCGCAATGTCGGGTCCTATTACGATCCCGACAGTCTACGAGCGGCGGCTACTCTAAGGGTGTTTCAAGTGTTATACTCCCACTTTTCAGTTTTCTTCTGCGGCCATATTGAAGACATCCCAGTGCTTGAGCGATCCCGACCTGTTCGCAAACCACAACCGCGACTGCCACGAAGACCCAAGTTGAACATGCTTTTCATCGTATAAGTCGCTGATTGCTGCGAAAAATACCACTGAATGGGAGATTCTGTTTGCAGTGTGTCTAAGGCGTTTCCAGTGCCCGAGTGATCCGGACCTGTGCGCAAGTCACAACACTGACGGCCACGAAGTCCAGATCAATTATTCTGTTCAACACATAAGTTGCTGATTGCACCGGGAAAAAACTAGTGATATGCGAATCTCCTATTTGCAGCCGTGTCGAAAGCGTTCCAGTGCCTAAGTGATGCGGACTTGCGCGCAAACTACGACCGCTACGGCCACGAAGACCCGAACCAGCTACGTCAGCAGCAGTTCCAGCGGCGGCGGGCGCACGGACCCAGCTACGACGACTTCGACCCGAACGATATCTTCAACGCATTCTTTTTTGGTGGCGGCATGGCTCCGAATGGTGAGAATGAACGTCCAAAGTTGGGATCTAAGCTATTTCGTCTGTACAACGGAGTCTACTTTCTGCCTGAACAGGGCTTCTGAAGATCTTCAAATCAACAGGAACAGGGAATCCTCTGTGGGCAGCTATTCCGGCACCGAGCGTCACCGCTATCCTAGAGCACGCACAGAAATAACGAGCTGCACCTCAGACCTATTGATTTGTATCTTTTCCTTTTTGAAGTAGCAGTCAATATTCTAAACATGCTAACCTTTTTTCCCGACCCTTCAGCTCGGGTGTACCGCTACAACTTCGGCGGGCAGCAGTACCGGCACCGCGCGGCGCCGCCGCCCCAACAGGGCACGCAGAACAACAACCAGCTGTTGGCGCTCCTGCAACTTCTTCCGGTCATCGCCTTCCTCCTCTATGCGCTCATGCCCACCAGCGAGCCCGTCTACAGCATGGCGCGCTACGGGAAGTACGTCAAGGAGATGCGGACGAGGTAGGCTTTGTTTCTTCCTCCCTTATCTGGTCCGTGTTTCATTCTGAGATTGGCATTCTTTACGTTGCCTCCCCGTCAGCGCCCTTCTTTCTGAGCGCGTTAGTGTTAATCAGCAAGCCCGTCTTCTCAAGGAGATTTGAACAAGGTAAGCTCCCGTTCTGTCCCTTCCATTTGGCACCTTTGCTTTAGCCACTGTCGAGTGTTCGTGCCCATTCTTGGAGTGTTTCTGCTGTCTGGCCTCTTGCGAAAGGACGTCAAAGACAGGCTTGCAAGGTCGAGTTTTTTGTCTTCTCGCTTTTGCCCCTTTTTCCGTTGTGGTCTGTGGCAACCATCTGCTATAAAGCAAGCTTCTGTGGGGTTCGGTCTGCGCTCTTCAAAAAGTACGAGTCTGTGAGTTGTATATATCTTTTGTGGTGTTCCTGGTACCAGGAGGCTTCTCGAAGAGAGTTTTTTTGGTGCTTGTGTGACGAGTCTTGCTTTCTTTCCTGTGGGTTTGTGAAAAAGATCACCCCGACAGTAATCTGGGTTTCACGGCAGTCAGCTTCTTTTGCAAGTTTGTGCTTATTTTGAAGCACTGACAATGTAACCAGTCACCGTAAGTGTGCTGGAAAGAAAGTGTTGCAGCCGCTGCCCCAATCCATGCCCTTTTACAATGGGTTCTATTGCAAAAGAGGGCGTACTCTCGCATTTTTACCGCAGGCTGGCGGCAGTTTCTACGCTCCGTACAGTCGTTATGGCCTCCTCAGTTCAAATGCGGTGTCTCTGTGCAACCAGGCTGGTAATGCAGGTCTAGGATCGCTTATAAACACAGGTCTTGCCCTCACACTTTGACAAAATGCAGCAACATACATGAGTAGCATTGGTCCGCCGCTGACTGTGAGCTTCTTTCTACTGCCTCAGCGATCTGGACATTCCTTTCTGGGTCAAGGGAGCCGACTTCGAGCGGGAGTATCCGGCGGGCAGCCAAGCACGGGCGAAGATCGAGCGACAAGTAACGAACGATTACAGGTGGGCCAGGTGGTTCCCGTGTCAGCTCGAATGGTCACTGAGCACGTCCTTCATTGCCTGCGTCCTTTGCTCTTTTAAGATTTTCCTTTGTGGGTGTTGGCAACCGCAAAGCGCTCCTCTTGTTTGAGTTTGAGGATTCGTCGAAGCTTGCACCACGTACCTCTCTTGTTTCGTCCAAACCTTAACGTGAAATCTGCTCTGACGATCTGTCCGCTCATTAGATACGTTCCTTCCTTGCGCAATCTGTTCCCGTTCTTTGACGTGTCGGCACGAGTGTCAGACTCAGGACCGGAAGCTTAGCTTCGATAAGAGCCGGACTTCGTCTTACAAAGGTGCCCGCGCTTGGACTGGACTCTTTTCTTAAGGGTTCAGCTTTGCTTTCTAGAATGGCGACAACAATTCTTGCACTGTCTCTACAGATGGCTCGATTCGGCCTAACGTGGTTCTGTGATAGCGAACTCTGGTGATCAGATCGTTCTACTCCCTCGTTACGAGTACAGAGGACCTCGTCAGACAGTCAGAGAAGTCCGAGAAGCTTTAAGAAGTCAGAGACAGTCATTGTCAGGACGGACCAATGGCTGTGGCCACCTTGCGAGGAATACCACTAAGAACCGTAGCTGTTTACGTTGTTGCAGGGACCATCTGGAGACGCGTTGCTACCACGAGCGCGTCGCGCAGCAACAGCAGTTCCGGTGGGGGCAGACGAAAGCAGCTCGGGAGATGAAGATGCCCTACTGCGACGAACTTCGACGAGTGCAAGCAGCGTACTAGCCCCCAAGCGCACATAAAGTAGTTAAGAAGATATGATCCGACGCATGCCCTTGCCAATTTATGATGTGTCCAACTCATGTACAAGATATTTGGCTAGCGCCTACTTAAGGTCTTCAACACAGCGTCCTTGCAATTGGACTCGAGCACTTGTCATCAAACTCCACATCAGAAGGCCCCACTATATGATAAGCCATGAATTTGTATATGGTACGGCATGTGCACACCGGATCAAGAATTGCAAGTGTGCACTGCATGACTGTACATGATCGTGCACTTATAAGATTACGATGTATGGTATAACATGTACGTGCATATATACGATCATTGCAAGGGTACAATGCACTCGATTGTGCGTGTGCATCACATGCCAGCTCTGCAGTAAGTTCCATTTTTCTTTAGGCCATTTCGCTTCAAAATGGCGCCTCCCTTAGGTACTGATCAAGTTTGCGGCCGGGTTTCTAGGAGCCTAATATTTACGAATGATGAGGTCTGAACGGTTTCTCCATATCCGTATGGAAGTTTCGTCATTGACTTTAATGGCTTATTTGCCAGTTGCCGGACTATAGCTTAAGGGTATTGAATATGAGAGATCGATTTCTCATAAAAGACGATTGTGATCGAGGTTGGCCGGGTTGCATGCGTGGCTCGCCGGGCCTGGTCCGACGCGCGGCCGGCCTGGCGTGACGCGGGGCCGGCCGCCCCGTCGGCCAACCCTCGACGGTTTGCAACGCCGACGTGGTTGCAAGTCTGCATGCACTTTCGGACACGTGATATTTAGAGCGGACCGTCGGCTTGAAGATTCTGCGGACCGGTCTCTTTGGCCGGCCGAAGCCTGGCACAGGTTGCCATCAGATGGATGCGCACTTTCGGACGGGGTTGCTTCTAATCGTCAAGCAGGATGGATCATGGGGGGCGTGGCTGCCACTGCCAGGTCAGGAAAGATGCTCATCCCCTCAACCGCACTCCTGACAACCATGTCGGGGGCGTCGATTGCATGCCGCATTGAATGCAAGGAGAAGGAAGCTGGAGCATTAGGAAAGCAAGGCAGTTGGACAGAGAAGGGGTAATAGGGACACTCGCGGTGGGTGTGCAAAGCACCTTTGTGAGCCTGCGAAGCTGTTCTAGTAGCCTTAAATATGCTCGTGATACGTGGAGTGGTCGAAGGTACGACGGTGAGTTACCTGACTTGTTCTAATAATGTATCTTGCTTTGTTGTGCGGTGAATGAACTCTCTGCTGTATAGTTGCTTCTGGTGGAGCTGCTTGGTTCGCATGCAGATGCTTGGGTGGATATTCGGAAACTAGACAGCGAATGAGCCTGCTTTCGAGGGGGTTTAACGCGACGGGGTTTTGAGGGTTTTAAAAGTATGACGCTGTTCGTGTGCTCTTCGAACCTTCAAATAACCATCAAGTATTCCCATTGAGCTGCAATGTGTCCTGGAGTATGTGGGAGTCTCTTACTGTCCAATTGGACCCTGTTCCAGAGCTTGACGACTTTCCAGTTGGACACGGTGCGACCAGGGCGTGTTTTCTGGGCGCTTCTATCTGGTGTGAAACAATCGACCAGCTTATCTTGCGGAGAAGGGCTTGGTTACTTTTATTGTTGGGGCCATTTTGCTTGTTATCAACCATCTCCACCTGGCGCTCCTAAACCACTTCTCTCGTTGGTCCATTCTGGAAAGGGAGAGAAAGGGCACAGCTTGCTGTGAAGCCTCAAATGCACGTTACATTTTCCGCGTGATGCAAGTGCGTTGGTGTAGAGGCATTGAAGAGGGAGGGTTCAATCACTTGAGCTGTGCTTGCGTAGGGTCGATGTGCAACTTGTATCTCGCCAGCATCAAATGTAGCCTGTCAACGTTCAGAGATGCATCTATGTTGACTTCCACAGATATACCTGACTTAGTGAAAGGGGTTTTTGCATCGACGCTTTGGATTGCAGCCAATTCTTTTTCATAGACATTGTAACGTCTTGTTTTAGTCCAGTGGCAACAATGACAAGGCCAAAAGGGTGTCGGTTTGAGGGGAAAGCATGTAAGCTGGTATGAGAGGAAGGCGCGCCTAACCGCCAGAAGGAGGTCGTCATGATTCTGGCTGCTTTTATCGTCGAACAGGGGTTTCCAGTGTGGACTAAGGAAAGAGGAAAGGTGGCTCCAGCTCCAATATGATCCTTTGACCACTCTTCTGTCACGCTTCTACTTTTTGGCTGGTCTGGGGAGCTCTGAAAGGCCCAGTGATAGCGTTCAGGTTGAGAAGGGGCCGTTGGAGTGACAATAAGTTCAAGACAGTATGTATGACCAACTTTTCTTTGAGAATTATCGAGTGCCACAAAGCACTCTAGTACGCTGATTGCTACACTTCGAGCTCAGCTAGTAAGGGATGCGTGAACCAGCATAGCGCCTGACTCCACTGAACAAAGATTGTTCCGCACAGAAGTTCTGGTTCAGCAGGGCAGGGGCTGGCAAGGCAATGTCTTGTCCAGTCAGGGCTTACTTTTGTCTCACACTTCTTCTTTCAGCTCCCAGGTATGGTTTGTCGAAGCTGGCTTAGGCCAACTTGGCTGGTTCACATGGTCTGACCTTCAGAATTATTATTCTGGACTGCAATATTTGGGGGTTCTCAGGCATTGGTAGCCACCAGAGGAATGAATGTGCTGAGAGGTCTGTTGTCTGTCTTTCACTTGAGTTGCCATTCTGGTCGCTGCGCCTCCGCTAACAAGAAAGTCCAGGACGCAACTCTTTCCTTTTTAATGCATGTGCTGGTCCAACGCCCTCTCTTGGCGTCCCAACATGATGTTTCAGCTCTGCTTCCTAGAAGCTTGAATCAGGGAAAGCAAAGAGAACACAACCGAAACGAAGAGACGAATCACCTGATGTTTTTCTCCGCTGTATTCTTACAAATGCAGGCGACTCGCACAGCGAACACATCCAGATGACCCCGCGTTGCACCCTGGCCAAAAACCGGGCGCTTCCACCAGTCACTCTTCACCGGAGACTTCTACCGGGCAGTTGACAGCTGGCGGCATGGGGCTCGCGTGCTCGCGGCGGAGGAGCCCAGGGGAGGATGACGTCATCTCGGAGTTTGATGATTGCGGCGGGGCCCCCCTCATGAGGAAACGGTCCCTGCAGTTGACGCCGCTCCCGGCGCCATTTGACAGGTTAGTGGTTGGGATTGTACTTCTTTACCGAGGTTAAGGTGAAGCAGATATTGTTTCACAACCTGTGGGAAGCCTTCGTCGACCGAGCATAAACGCTGCAGTTACTTCTGTGTCCAGCGCAATTGGGGCAGTTTCAGTCAGAGTCTGCCTACATGAATCTTAGGTCTCGAAATGGTGGTCTGGTTAGGAATCATGGCTGGTTCAAAGCCTTGTCGGACTGATACGTTGACTGGATGAGAAAATGTTTGCAACTGAACTAGCCCTTTACCTCATGCCTCTCAAAAGCTATTATTGACAAGAGAACTGCTCATGCGGCAGATCAGAAAATTCAGCCAGTGGTCCAAGCGCCTTTCCATGCCCTGGTCGATGAGTTCTTTGACATACTTTCAGCACAGTTGGTGAGGCCTACTTTATGAGTGGAGACTGGTGGCTTCTTGTTTCTACTTGATAAGACTCTTGCAATTGTGCAACACAGTTGCCTCAGACACTGGGGATATTTTTTCCATTTCTACATTTCTTCAGCCCCCGTAGAGACTCTTGCAACTGTGCAACACAGTTGCTTGTGATGCTCGTACAAGCCAGGAGGCAGTCACGGAAAAGCTACTTGTATCTTGAAAAGCTGCGTGGCAATGAGGAAGGAGCAAACTAGTGAGCCTTCCTAAGCGCGGCAAGAGCAAGGTGTGTCGGTCCGACGGCCAGAGTATTTCGTCAAATTGTTTCTGAGAATACCTAAGAGAATCAAGTGCACTGCTTAGAGGGTAGTGGCCTCTGATGGTGGCCTTATCGGTCGTTTGCAGAGTTTGCGTGGTTGAAGGTGGTTGAAGGATTGCCAATCCTGAAAACGTTGTTCCATGTTGTAGTGGGCAGCGTTCTGCACGTTGACCTGACACTGATGCACTTTGGGTTCCTTCTCGAACGCCGTGGTTTCCCCCATCTTTGTTCTGAATAGTTGGTGGAGATCTGTCTCAAATCCGCTTTTGTCCTGGAGGGTTTGACTCACTTGGCAATGACAAGACCATGCAAAACTTGTGCGCACTCTGCGCTCAAGCGCTTGCTTGGATGATGGTCTGATGCCTCAGTGTTTTTTCTCTGTCCACCGCTGTCGTTCCTTTTGTTTGTCTACTTGGATCTGGAACCTTTTGCCAGCTCCAACGCATTACAACATCTCACGAAAGTTTCGACACCAAGCTGCCCTTCCTTGTGGAGGGTGCTGCAATTCGCTCTTACCACCTGACCTTTTTTCCTTCGGAAACGAAACTCCTCTGTTTTCAAAGACTGCGTAGTCGTCTTACACGACAGCTCCTAGACCGCTGGGTATATGGATGAACACTTGAACACCGTCGAGAGAAGGGCTTGCAAAGGGCTTAAGGCTTGACACTTACTATTTTCCACCCTGGAGCCCTCTATCTCGGGACAAGCGTCCTGACTATGATCGCCAAAGACGGATGACATGGCGTATATCTCACGTTTTCGGTGAGCAGAGACGTGTTATTGGACGGTTCCATTGGGGCAGTGACGAGAGATTGTACGTTGCTGAGTCGGTTCTGACTCAACTCGTCGTCGTCACCCTCTGATGCCCGAAGAAAGTAGAGCAGGGTCAGGAATTCGTCAGCTAAGAGCAAATGAGTTGAGGAGCTTCCTTCAAAATAAACTCGAGGCTTTCCGTTGGGGCTTCCAACCGGCCAAGTAAAATTGTCAGCTTGGAGAAGTGTATCTTTGATGGTCAAATGTGACGTTGGCGTCGTGAGCTATCTGTGCCAAGTCCGTGCCGCCTTTGCATAGCTCGTGTTGCACAGCGTTCTTTCCGGGAAGGCGATAAAGCTTTCCTAGGTAGAGACTTCGTCTCTATCTCGGTGCATGCTGATTCTCAATGCAACAACGAGGTCCTTCTTCCGCTGGTGTTATGGCTGTTCCGCTGTCTATCTGTCTCTACGAACCTCGTTTCTTCTCTTCGATATCCCACTAGTTTGAACCTCAAGCACAGGAACGGCTTGCCCGTTCAGTAGGGAACAAAAGCAGCACGGGCAAGGAAGTTAGAACTTCATGTTTGAGACCAGTTCTGGTTCTCAGAAAGCTTCAGCGGTACCTCGACGCCCTAAAGTAGGTTTGTGAAAGGCCCACGCGGTCGAAGTCTGACTGAGTACCGACTCTCAATCATGCACTTCAAAGAAGTACAGCAGTGAGCGTTGTCATACTGCTCGTTGACTCATTCCCGGTAGTCCAGTTTCCTTCTCATGTTTGCGACACATTCGATGGGACAAGGATGAGTACTTGATCGGTGGTCTGTATTTGTTCTTATTTAAATCATGGACTGGCGTCTCGAGGACCCTCGGCAACAGCTCAGCTTGTATATTCGTCTTCAGAGCAACCGCTTTGCTTGCACTGACTCGTACTGGAAAAGGGCAATGAAGAGTACGAGTCGGGGATCGTATAGAATGTACTTGCAATGCTTGAAGCCTTTGGAAACTGATTGGAATATTGATAAAGGGCTGAGTTTTTTGTCGTGAGATATCATGGATCATAGAAGCGCGGGACACTTGCTTATGCTTCAACCTCCTTGCTTGGTGCGATCCGCTGGCTGCGCGGGAAATTTCTGCTTTCCCGGGTCTGAAAAGTCAACACTTTTTGCATTAAGGGCGATGACTTTCTGTCATTACAGCTGCATACTTAAGCTTCTCAGCATAGACTTTGCGGGGATTGTGAAGTTGAGCAATAAAAGGTTTTCTACGCGTCTCATCTATTAAGAGTACCTGATGCATTCCCTCAGAATTTGTCTCTGCTTTCCTTTAAGATGGCTGTTGTCAACCATAATTCTCCTTCGCTTCGCTGCTGGCGTAACCAGAGGTGACTCTACAGGAGCCTGGCGGAGTTGCATTGTTGCTGGCTGGCTCGCAGTCGAAGCACACAGTATCAGACTCTTACATCAACACAATCCACAGTCGTAGTGATCAACAAAAGTAAGCAGTGACACTCGGGGTCCCTCTTATTCGAATCCGCAGGCCAGCACAAGCGAAAGCAACGCTTTAAGGCCTACCCATCCTTGCAATATGTGAGAGCGTGACGGTCGCTGGCGGTTATCACAGAAGTTTCGTGAACCAGAACGTCCAATCTAGACTGCCAAGTTTCGACCGGATCTTGAATTCTCAAGCAGCTAGATATCTTTTCTCACCTTTTCGCAGACCGGCCCAACCAGGAGCGACTCTTCAAGAGCTTTCCATCCGCGCAATTTGCAAGAGCCTGGCGGACTCGCCTCTATCTTTGGCGCCTCTCCCACGGGACCTTACGCAGCGGATCCTGGACGAACTGGTCTCGACGCGCAGCCTCAAGCGGGGCATGCTAAAGGCGTTCAAGGGCTGCTGCCTACAGGTGAGTATATTCTTGTAATCCTTTTCTGTTGGGATTTTTGCCTTGTCACTTCCTGAACAGCTCAACTAACTGCTTGCGAACTAACTCCAACCCAGCAAGATGTTCATGTGGGAAGCTATTCTGACGGGGAAGACGACTGGCTCGGGGAATCTACACAACAGCGATTGCAGTTAATGTATCATTTTAAGCCCTGTTTGTAGGCTGCACATATGGCGGGCTATCCTGGGGTAGAAGACGACTGGCTTGATCACGGCGACTGCAATTACACGCGCTCTTCTTCTCTTGGTTCTCCTGTCCTGGCCTCTTTCTTCCACAAAGATAGCGTTCTACGACCCGAAGAATTGCAGATTGTCACTCTTGCTTTCGTTCCGGTTTCTACAGGATGTGGCAAGCTACCCAGGGGTCGAAGACGACTGCCGCCGCTTTCTGGATTCGTGTAGCTCCAGAGCATCCGGCATCCAGCTTTTACCAACCAAACCACATGCAGGATACATACGAGTTTTCTCATTTCTGGATGTACATATGGCGAGCTATCCTGGCGTGGAAGAGGACTGGCTCAAGTTCCTGGATCAAGGAGACTGCAACTGCTCCTGCTCTCCTTCTCTGCCGTTCCTTCTTCCTGACCAGTTCTCCGAGTGAAAAGCAGAACTTTAGAACCTTCTTTTTCGCAAGCCCAACTTTAGGACCTTCTAATTTGTGTTAGCCCTAAACCCCGAACCTGACCCTATGTAGGATGTACATGTGGCGAGCTACCTGGCGTCGAAGACGAGTGGCTCGAGTGCCTGGACCACAAACCCTGCAATCGCTCCTGCTCTCAAGTTCCTGTCGTTTTGTCTTCCTAAACCTTTTCTACACCAAATAGCAACTGTTTTGAACCCTTGCTTGTGCCAGCCCTAAACCCCGAACTTGACCTGATGTAGGATGTACATATGGCGAGCTATCCCGGCGTGGAAGACGAGTGGCTCGAGTTCCTGGATCACGGCGACTGCAGCTGTACCTGCTCGCTGGACCTCAGCCACTGCCGCGAGATCTCCGACAACGCACTCGTGTACATACAGCGCGCAAAGAACCTCGAGAGTCTCCTGCTTAACGGCTGTCTCCGGCTGACCGACCTAGGGCTCTGCAACATCACTGGTGAGGGCATTTGGATCTTGTGTTTATTGATTGTGATGTGTTGAAGACCTTTACTCGATTCGGGTCGTGGTCGAGAAACCTTCGACATTACACACGGGTACATAGAGAGCGGGCCAAGAAGCTGGACAGCCTGCTGCTTAACGGCTGTCTCCGGCTGACCGACCTAGGGCTCTGCAACATCACCGGTGAGTGTCTTTAGGGATTTCGGAATTTAGGGTCTTGTTTCCTGTATTTCCTAGTTTTGGGTCTCCGCCGGGAGAATCCGGAACTCGCTCTCGTGTACATTCAGCGCGCCAGTTACCTTGAGAGCCTTCCCCCTCAATGGATGCCTGCGCCTGACTGACCTCGGGCTTTGCAACATCACTGGTGAGTACCGTCAGGGTTTGATTGCCTTTAATTTTGAGGGTTCGAATATGAGGATTAGCATTCAAAGCACCGTGTATCTGGCCGTCTTGATGACGGATTCGAGAATCTGTCGAGAAGCCTTCCAAAATGTGTGTGTCGACATGCAGCGCGCCAAGAAGCTCGACACTCTGCTGCGTAACGGTGTCTGCGATTGAACGATTGGGGCTGTGCTATATCACTTGTAAGTGTTCACCGGGTTACGAGGATCGACGAGATCAAAATATGGGGACTTTGCTTTTAGGAGAATTTTAGATTTGTTCCGCGAGTTTCTTGAGAATGCGCTCATATACGTTCAGCGCGCCAAAAGGCTCGAAAGTTTGCTTCTCATCAGTGCTCCCTGCTGACCGACCTTGGGCTCTCTCTCAGGTCACTGGTGAAATTCATTGAGGTTCTGAGGTTTCAGGGTACCTCTCCTTTTGGTGATCTCAAGTGATCAATTCGGTGGTTTCCAACAAGTTTCTACATCTGGAACGTAATGCAAGAAGAAGCTTGAGCACCTTTCCCTAAGGGGTGTCGGAGGGTTTGCGTGGTTTGCGCTACTCTTAGTGAGGCAATCTCCACTTCTGGCCCTCCGCGGGTTCGCAGAGGTCTCAGAACTCAAGAGCTCTGCGGGTTTCGTCGTTTAGCGTTCCTTGATCTTTTCTAAACAGATCTGATGACCGTAACCTTTCAGCAGCGATTGCAAGCTTGTAACTGCTACTCCATCTCGTCGGCTGGCTCCAGAGAGCGCTTTGTTTAGGGACGTAAGAGCGTGTGCAAAGCTATACGCTTACGCCTGTCCTACGCCTTCTTCTTTCCAGGCTTCGACAAGCTGACCCACCTGAGCCTCCAAGGCTGCGACTATATCACCGCCATCGGCATGCGGTGCTTCGCCGGGCTCACCAGTCTGGAGGTGCTCGACCTAGAGATGTGCAGCAGACTGCACGGGGGCTTCCGGTACCTCACGAGTAAGTCTCCGCTCTGGTTCCTCTGCTGAGCATGCGTTTTCCCTAGTTTTCCAGCTTCCTTGGGTTTCCACCCTTTGAAAGCTAAGGATCCGAAGAGTTGAGAGCCGGGACCTCGGGATGTGCTTTAGGCTACACGGCGGCTTCCGTTACCTAACGATTGAGTCCCTGCTTCGGTCTAGTTCCTTCGTCGAGAGAACCTCATTCTCGCTCTAAATCCCTTGCCAAGAACTCCACGTTCCGTTCGTCTTGAGGTTTCGGCTCCTCCAAAAGCCAAGACACTGGATTACTGGATGGGTAGGTCCAGAACGTCGAGAGGTGCAGCCGATCGCACGAGGGCTTCCATCATCTCACAATCTCGTTCTAGTTCCTTTACCGAACGTTCTTCTCCCCCGAAGATTTCCCGTTGTTTAGGTTTCCAGCTTACCTACATCCCTTAAAACGCTAAGGACCTGAAAAGCTGAAAACTTGGATTCAGCAGATGTGTAGCAGACTACCGCAAGTTTTCGTTGCAACACGAGTGGGTCTCTGCTTTGATCTGGTTGGCCACGGAGTGTTTAAAGTTTTCAGCTCTTCTGATTCGTAGAACCCTAGGATTCCAGTCTCTGCTCCGTCCTATTTGCGCTTGGACCCGTGCTAGTTTAGATAAGTGCGCCAAATCCGCTATTTCAAAGGTGGCACAAAGCGGCTCACGTCGATTTGTCCAAGATCGGTGACGAGTTACGCCCTACAAGTTCCAGTTCCAGAGGTCGCAACTCTGGGCGACAGTATGCTGATGCATTACTACTCAAGTGGTGAGGTCGCACCCGCTTGATTTATGGAGGCAAGAACTGGCCCATACTTGAGACCCCAATCTGCTAAGAACGATGTAATCACATCCCCACCTGATGCTGACGTCATCCTCCGCAGAGTTGACGAGGCTGCACACGCTGAACCTGGGATGGTGCAGCTCGGTGGAGGACTATGACGTCATGTCGCTCCAGGGCATGACGGGGCTGACGGACCTCCGCATCTCGCGGACCAAAGTGACGGACATCGGCGTAAACCACCTGAAAGGTCAGCAAACATTCTTTGTGCAAGACTTTTCGCCGTTTTACATTGGCAGGGGTTGTGAAATTGCAAGGGATCGAAGTGAATGACATCGGCGTAAACCACCTGAAAGGTGAGCGCATATATCTTCGTTTGCTTCTCGTTTTTGCAAACGTTTCTCACGTTGACATTGGCAGGGGCTATGAAAATTTGAGAAATCAAGTGACGAACATCGGCGCCAAAATTCGAAAGCTTAGCTTATATTCAGATTGCTTCGTGTTCCTGCGAGCCTTTTGCAGGTTCACATTGGCTGGGACTATGATATCGTAAGGCTGAGCGTCAATCAACTCAAGTGCTTGCTCTCTTATCATGAATTTTTAAAGTGAGCGTCAGCTGATATGTACAGCATACGTGATTTTGGGGCACGTGAACGGAGCAACTCTTGCCTCAATGCCACTGCCAGAACTGTGTCGGCAATCCAGGGGCGACCGGAAAAGTGGTGCATCAGTCTTTCGGTCGCCGGTGGGAAAAGTTGAATCTGATGCCGCCTTTCATTCACTTTTGTCTCTACTCGAATTTGCCGCTTTGGTACCATATGGTCAGGCGCAATTTGAAGGGCTTGCGATCACCGCAAGACTAAAAGCACAAGCGTTTCTGAAGACTTCAGTCGGACCGTTTTTGCGCCCAGATCTGAAGTTGAAGAAGCTCTTCATGGCGGGGTGCCCCATAAGCGATGCGAGCATGGAGGTCGTATGCAGCATGCCATCACTCGAGAACCTGAGCGTCGAGTGGTGCTCCGTGACGGACGCCGGCTTCCGGCGCGCAAACGGTAAACGCTAATGAGCAGACTTGCCAGCTTATTCCCGTTAATATGTTAGCATGTCGGCTTTGTTTGAAGGGGCGCCGCAAGGTCGCAGCCATCAAGGGGACGTCAACTTCTTTCTTGGCTGGTTCGCATGCTCCTTCTGAGGCCGGAGCGGTTGGAGTTAGCTTGCTAGAAGTTTTGTGGCCCAGAAATCGCTGGTCGACGCGTGGAAGCCTTGGATTTTCAAGTAAAGCATCAAAGCCTGAAAGTTTCTTCTGACGAGACGTCTTCGCGAGCATGCGGCACGGCTACTACTCCGCTTTCTCTAGGTACATTGAGCTTGTTTCAATGGCTTTAATGTCACTGTCGTTGCAATCGCCTGGAATGTCCGCCTATATTTGCACCGCGAATGATACGACTTGAAAGGTAGCAGATTGTCCCAAATAGTTGGTCCTCTCAAGTAGTGGCTTCCTGTTTGCAGACCATTCCATCCTGGGAACATGTGCTGACGTCTTCATTTTTTCTCTCCTGTCCACAGAGCTGTCCAACCTAGAGAGCCTGAATCTTTCGTACTCACGCATCGGTGACAAGACGCTCAAGAGCATAAAAGGTAACGCTCCTCGATCCTTTCAAAGTCCAGTTATTGATGTGTCCTCGTTCAAAATAAATTTCGCCCTAAGCGAGCGACCATGTTCCATACAGTCCTCCGTAGATCAGACCATTCTGCCTCAAGCCATGCAACTGTTGTTTTTAGAAGAGTCTCATGATTCGCACCATGGACGGTGCAAATTTGATTGGATTCGACTGAGTGGAATCAGCTGAGTCAGGGAGATATCCAAGTGCAATCAACTTTCGGATCTGGCCCGAAATTCCTCGCCGAAGTAGACAGGGGGAAAATTAAGCTCGCGTTCCTTGAAGGAGCCAACCCGGATGCCCTAGTTCCTTCCTCCTATGACGACCCTGCATGTTGATCCCAGTTCTTTTAAAAGTGAAAGCAGCAAAGCTGGGCTGCGTGTCTTCTCAATCTGAGAGTGCTTTCTTTTGAAGCCACGTGCATATTCTTGCGCCTCTGGCTCCAATGCTTAAACGCATACGAGGGCCATGAAGGACACCCATCTTGCCGTCCTTTCAAGGCAAGGAATGTCGTGCGCACGGTCTGATGCCTTCCTGCAGACCTCAATTTGCCCTGAAGAACATCCTTTAGATTGGACGTCTGGCGGGTTTAAAAGCTATAATCCCCCTCTCAAATACATGCTGCTCTTGATTTTCTGAGTGACGTGCTTTTGGGACGTATGCGTCGGCTCGTGCCTTGGCACTTTCGGAACTGCTACGCGTCAAAAGTTTGGACCCCACTCTGCGACGTCACCAAGCGATTGAAGGTGTATCTTCTTCTCGGGTCATTGTGCTGCTGATCACCTCGCAGTCTTCTCAATCTTAGATCCAACTTTGTGTGGGCTCCGATTGTTTCCCATTAGGTTCATAGAAAGAAGAACGATTTGATCGAGCATTCGTAAAGCTAGAAAGGTCATCGACAAGCTGATTTGGCTGCCATGAGGAGCCGCTTGTGGGGGAGATTCTAGTACAGTTCTCTCGTTGCTTCTCTGATGCCTTCTGCCAGCATCTCCTTCTGGCCCAAGATTTCGTTGTCTAGCTAGAGTTCGTTTGCTGAACGACAACTGTTCAGCAGTGGCATCGGTCTCTCACCCGTGCATCAGACTGTCGCCCTTTTGGAGCACTCCTGCCAAATCTGGTCTTTCAAGAAAGCGGAATGAAGGACAAAGCTTTCGTCTGGCCGTGTCTGTTGAGGTCTCCGTTTCTTTGAGCCACAGCTTTCGCACTTACGCTACTGCTCGCTTTTGGGTTTTGATCGAGTTCGTTGTCATTCGCTTGAGCAAAGGCTGGTTTTCTTGTGCAAGTCAATACAGTCGATATCGGCTCTTGAACCCACGATCTTCGCCTGTCTTACACGTGGAATGTAGTTCAACTTTCTGTCATCTTGTCTTTTGCCATCTTGGCAAGAAATGTTTGACGACGCGTCCACCACAGTCTCGTATGCTGCTTTTTGGCATCAAAAAATAGAGAGTAGCAAATAGGAACGATGCTTCTTCAGATTGCGCTCAAAGCAGGACTGTATGGAACTGGTATTATGGTATTGATCCCGAAGTAAGCTTTGGTTGGTCATGCGTAAAGCCACGATCGTGAGACGTCGTCACGTCGTTTGCTTAAGTGAGAAGGCAATGAAACAAGTCTGGCTGGATAAGCCAACTGTCCCTGTGTCCAGGATGATGCCACTCCATTGGATAGAACTGTCAGTCGGATCTCTTGATCTCTAGAGGGTGCACGACGTTTTGCACGGTAGTCAAAACTGGCATCGTGAACGAAAGAGCACTGGGATGGCTCTGCCGCTCGGAGACCTTCGGTTTCCTCGCTTCGTTGCTTGATATCAAGCGTCCTGGCCGTTCCGCTGATACAAACATAGAGCTTCAGCCGCGGCGTTGGTGCCTTGCTCACGCCTGAGACTGTCGCTCGTTCACATCTTTTTGCCAATTGCTTGATAGCCAGGTCCGCATCTTTCCTGCCAGATGTATCTGGTTAAAGTTGCATCAACTATCCTACGAGCCTCCTGGACTAGAAAAATTCGGGAGTTTAGAACCTTTATCCAGATTGGTTGGTCACTTATGTACGCTCGTCAACAACCCACTCATGGCCTCTTGATACGCTCCGACAAAATCCTCCTGAGCGTTCGGGTCAATCTCTTACGGCAGTGGTGCTAAAAAGCTTTGGGCACCGCCTGCTCAATGGCGGCTGCTTTCTGATGCCAGTCGACTTGGCCGAACATCAGCGTCCCTAGGTCAGGCCTAGTCCGAAGGCCGCCCTTTCCGGGATTGTCAACTTCGCATCAGGCCATCATAACTTGTGCTTGAGAGTGTAGACGCTCTCTCTTTCTCTGAAACTGTTCATTCGAAGCAACCCTCGGGACACTTCGGTTCGCTGCGTTAATGTTAACATGTACATCTTAGGAGAGAATCGAAGTTTGTGCTTTGGAGCCAGTTTATACAAGAATTTTGCGTCCCAATTCTATTCTTAAACGAGTCATGGCAGAGGGGTGACAAGCTTGGGCGAGATAGCAGTATTTTGCATGGGATTTGTTACCTGATTGGGAACCCGACTCTGTTGGTGGTTTGTATTGGTTGGCGATCGATGCTGTTCGTCAGGTAACACCGAAGCACCTTCACTAAACCTCGACGCCGAGGAGTTCCCCTCTGTGCTCGAACTTTTGACATTGCTTTCATGTAGCCAGTTCAGGGCGTGGTCTGTAGACAGGATACCCTTGCATGGGTGCGACCTTAACAAATGTTTGCGAATAACGCATATAAATAGTCGTCGACAAGATTCAGAAGAGATTAGATTGAGAGGCAGATCGGTTGAGCTGGGTCGAGCGACCCAAGGCTTTTTGTACATGTCCTGATGCTATGGCAGGTACCCGAATATCTAAATAAATTGAATCAGTTTTAATATTTTGAACCGGATGTGGCAACCGCATTCTAGCGAAAAGCTGCGTGCAGCGTCACCTTGCTTTACTTTTTTCTGAAAAGGATTTGTAATTCAAACGCTTGTTGCTCTCTATTAACACTGCGGGTACCGCAGTAAGCTTCCGCCCTCGAAAAGGCGCGGTTAGATGGGCAGCTAATTGGCCCAAACCTTGTCCGCCTGTTCCAGATTCATTGAAGACGACAATCTTGGTTGACGAGTGGGTCCTTTGCTCAAATGTTTCCCACTTCGGCGTACCGGTTGAAGGGAGCTTTTTTGGAGTGGCTCGGTTCGTGGAAAACGTTCTTGCGCGTTGACAAGGCGATGATTGGCAAGTTTTGGGTCACGAAGCCCAGGCATGGGCACCTAGGATCTGACGCCTCTATTCAAGACCATCAAAACTTGGGGCACTACGTCAATTTGACATTGATATTCCAATCGGAAAGCATTGCTCTACACTTGGCGGTCTGTTGATTTTTCAATTGTTCCTTGGAATTGGGTGTGACGAAGATTTGGTCGCATTGTGTTGGCCCGTGGTGGGTCGCGAGGCACTATAGGAGATTGATCTCCCTTGCCCTGGCTGTTTGGTCTGGTTCAGAGTGGTGAAAGGTGGATTGATAATTTACTGAAGAGAAGAACGGAAACATGCTAGCATTCCAGTATTGTTTGCAAAAGCGCCCCGTTTCGAGCCCTGTGGGAAAACGTTGAGCTCTAAATCATACCAAAAGGTTCTTCGTCCCTTCTGACCATTGACGGCCACCTTTTCTTAACCTATCCTCTGTGGTGAGGTTGATGTCCATTATTGCCTGGCAGCCTGCAGTCGAATCCAGATTTGTCCCTTTACTGTTCACTAAACTACTCAAAACCACGCTTCTCGGAACCAAACCATATGTTGACCCTTGCAGGTCTGCCCAAGCTGCGGACGCTGAACCTGGACTCGTGCCACGTGTCCAACGAGGGCTGCCGCCACCTGGCGGCGCTCGCCGAGCTGCGCGAGATCGACCTCTCAGACAGCCCCGTCGGGAACGCTGGGCTACGACACCTCACAGGTACGCTGACGTCATGCTTCGAAGACTTCAATTATGATATGTGCTCTGGTCGTTCATTTCCCGTCCCTCTTGGGTGCACTTCAGAGGGGCTGCTATTGACTCCCCAGCATGCAGCCCCATCAGGCACGCGGCGTCACCTTACGGGTATGCTGACGTCACAAATCGACTCGTTTTCGTGTGACTTGGATCGCTGAAAGAACTCGGTCGGCAATGCAGCGCAGCGTTATCGTATTCATCGGATTCGCGCTTTGGTGCGCTTTCGAACTACGTCTGCTTGATAGTTCTTTGAGCCCGACTCCTCCACCCCCGGTGTAACCTGATGCCTTGAACCTTGGCATGACCCCACTTGCTCTCCCTTTCCAGCACTCAAGAACCTCGAGACTATCCTGCTGTCCTATACGGGCGTCAACGACAATATTGTCAAGGGCCTTACCCCAAAAATCTACTGCATCATCACCCTTAACCATCCCGCAATTTTCGTTAACGCAACTTTCTCGCCCTTTCCAGCCCTCAAGAAGCTGGAGGCCATTCTCTCGTCTAAACCAGCCTCACCGACCCTAGTATCAAGGGCCTTGCCCCAAGAATTCTCTGCATCATCACCCTTAATCGTCCCGCAACCTTTGCTAACCCACTTTTCTCACCCGTCTTATAGCCCTCAAGAAGCTGAGACCATTCTGCTGTCAACACCGGCGTTATCGACCCAGATTCTTCAAAGCCTACCCGCCAAGACGTTCCTTCGTTATCACTCTGATCCTTTCAGAAACCCCTGCCAACGCATTCGGTGACCCCCGCTAACCCACTTTCCTTCCCCTTATTCAGCCGTCAAGAAGCTGGAGACCATCCTGCTGTCCTACACGGGCCTCACCGACACTAATCTCAAGGGCCTTACCTTAAAAATCTAATCCGCAATAGCACCCTTAACCATCCCGCAACCCCTCGCTAACCTACTTCTATCACTTTCATTCAGCCCTCAAGAAGCTGGAGACCATTCTCCTCTCCTACACCGGCGTAACCGACTCGGGCCTCAAGGCCCTCGCCCCCATGACGTCACTCACGTCCCTCAACCTCGACTCGCGTCACATTAGTGACGTCGGGCTCTCGCACTTGACCACTCTGACGGGGCTGCGCGCGCTGGACCTTTTTGGCGCCAAAATCAGCGACCAGGGCGCGGCGATGCTGAAGAGCTTCAAGCAGCTGGAGAGCCTGGAGCTGTGCGGAGGGGGGATCACGGACCTAGGGGTGCGGCACCTGAAAGGTAAAAACCGCTGATGTGTACGTTCTGCGTTTTGGGTTGTTTCGGGCTTTCTTGTCTCTTGTGCTGTTTTCAAGATTTTATGACCTGGGGACACCTGGAGCTGTGTTAGGGGGAGGATTGCGGATCTTGGGGTGCGACACCTGGAAGGTGAGGGGGGTTGCTGTTCGTTTGACTTGGGTGCCTTTTTGGGGGTTGTTACGAGCTTGCTACTGACCTTCAACCCTTTTCCAAATCCAATCATCCGTTTCTGGTTGGGGGGAACATGACGGATTTCGGAATGCGTGCTCTGAACGATGAAGGCTGGTTTATGGTTTCATGGTGTGCTGTTTTCAGAGCTTTCACGAAGTCTTTAGTGAAGTCCTTGGTAAAATGCATCCATTGTTCCGCTTGTGCGAAGGGGATGGCTGGTGGCTTGGAGTCTCGTGACGAGTTCGCACGCTTAAGTGGATGGTTTCTCTTCTGATCATCTCTCTTTTGCCGTATTGTTGCAAATAGGTGCGTCTTGGGGTGGGAACTTTCCGTAGCCTTGCGATGTGGCTTTTGCAAAGGGGATACTCTGGACACGTTTGCATAAGTGCGTTTTGTGCTGTTTGCTGATACGTATGTGTCCAAAAGGTCTTAAACTTTGTTTGTTCTAGGTTCACTTCCAATTTCCTTCAAGAGGTGGAGCACGCAATCTGCTGAATTCTTGCTGACTTAATTATAGCATCTGCATGATAAACCTCTTGACACGTCGGGATCATCGAGCTCCCCGACTTGAGGCTTTACGATTGCAGTGGAGCATCAAACATCTCTTGAGTTCATTTTGGAAGGCGTGAAACGACAAGATGGAGAGAATTGTTTGGCACTTTTTGAATGTTTGTCCGATGCTCTCTGCACAACGCTTTGCACTTTACCGTTGAAGAACAGGCCTATCGCCCTTTACGCAAACCGGGATACGGGCTTTCTGAAGCTACTTTCAAACGAGTCGTCAAAGAGATAGCAATTGCTGGCAGCTCAAGTATTGCCTACATATGCTGATGCTTACCGTGACCCGGAACGTTAGTGGCAAGGATGAGGCTGGCTGAAGCGAAAACAGCTCCAAGGGCTTGCCGTAGTTGAGGCCGAAAGCCACGGGACTAGACTTGGGGCTTGATTCTCTAGTTCTTTGCAAAATATTGGGATTCCTCATTGGGCACTGGAACATTTTACTTTCTCCATTCTGTACTTTTGTATGTTAGACTCAAACCTTATCGAGCTCTTTAGCTTTGACTGCGGGGCAAACGATACGTCATCGTGGTGGCAAGGATGGGTTTTGACAACGAGCAGCATAAAGCTCATTTGTCTGTTGTTCGAAAGCCCTGACAGCCACGGACTCCCCTGTTTGCTTATCTTCGTCGCTGACCCCCGGACCATTGCTTAGCTTTCGCAGAAAGGATGATTCTACTCATCTTAGTCGCGGTAGCAGGCACGAAACTGATTATCAAAGCCACAGCTGAGCAGATTTTACTAATTGTGTGTATCCTGACACTTTGCTGTGTTATTATGCGGACTACTGCGCGTTTCGTTTCAGTCACCCCTCCCGTTTCGTACAAGCATGAACGTCATGACTCAGATAGGATCATAGTCAAGGCTTTTTTCAGGTTGGGCTTTGTAGTCTTTTCAGGTTGGGCTTTGTAGTCTGTCCTTGGTAATTCATAATGTGGTGAAGACGGCCGCGGCTGTAAGACCCGCAAGGTCTTATAATCCGACGTGCCGTGCTGATCTGGCCCATCGGAAGGTGAGGCTTAATGCCGTCGTCAAGCGCGTTTGTCTTCTTGACTAGCAACAGAGGAATTCGCACTTTGCGTTTCCGGTTCGGGCCTTCATGCGATGTCTTGCTATTCATTTGGCTTCGCAAAAGAAAGTCCGTAGGCTTGCAGAAAATTGTAAGGGCGGCCTGATCTATTTGCAAAAGCGCCGACTCTTGCTCGCTGACAGAAAATATCCAAGGGCTTTCCGAAACCAGTGGCAAGGATGGGTTGTGGGCTGGGCCTTGGAAGCTCAGTCCTCGAGCAAGTATTGGGCCTGACAGCCATTGCGTCCCCCCCCCCGTAAATATGTGTACTGCATTTGCGACGCTATTACACTGCTCGAAGCAGTTTGGAGTCCTCCGTCTCGCATCCTTCTTTTCTCTCGCTCTTGGGCAGATCCAAACGGAACGCTGAAGTCGCTGCAACCGGTGTTCTTTGCGCACCTATCCTCGTTTGCGAAAGGCTGTTATCGCTATGCTTCCATTGAGAAGCTGGAATGCAGTGTGTCAAGGACATTTACGATCTCCGATCTCAACGCAGATATGAAGCTGAGAGGTAGAAGGAGGTCTGACTTTTTCCCCGTCGACAGTAGTGCTTACCTGGGTTGTGGTCCGATTTCACAGTCCTTTGCGGCTTGAAGATAGTCTGGGGATGACGTGTGAGCCCCTAAGAAAGTTTCCAACTCAGATGCGATATCCTTGGCCTGATGCGATTCAAAGATCCAGATGTTTCGAGGACTTGCATCAACGCTTTGTCTTGCCACATGAAAGACGGTCAAATACCCCACTGTCTCACTTAGGTCGTAGGCTCCATAACGGCATTGGTCCGAGAGTCTGTGTTGCTGAGGAGTTGCCCGTGATCGGTGAAAAAATATCCAAAGTTTGTTTGTGGCAAGGACAGGTTGGTAAAACGTGAGTCGTGCCCATTCACTGAAGTGTCCCCGTGTTGTGTGCATTGCGCCTGACAGCCAAGCGATTCTTTGTGAGAGTACGTTTGACAATGCTGCACAGCTGCCCATCTAGCGCAAAGGGTCAACTTTCTCCGTTGCGACTGGCCCATTCGCGGCTGGCCCGTTCGTCTCTTTTCATACCTGACAAGTCTCAAGAGGCCCGTGACGAAGAACTGGGAATCAGTAATTTCGAGTTGAGTAAGTTTACAGCTTTCCTCGGGGCACCAGCCCTCCATAGTTCTCACCTTTCTGAAGGGCATGTCGATCCATGTGGGCCTTATTAGGCGTAGCTCGGCCACGTGTTCTTCTGTGTAGTACGATATCTACCGGAGCGCTTTCGTTTGGCGCTCGCAGCACCAATGCTTTCCTTCGACTGCCCACGAGAAAGCTTTTGTTCAACACAATTTTTGGGACCCGGACAGTAGCTTGCTGAAAGTTCGAACTACAAAGAGGCTACGAGTCACCTCTGCACCGAACCTCATGTGCATGCCAAGAGTCTCAGCTCTCATCATAGTCGGAAATTGAGCCTCGGTTTCTGAACGTGCGATGTGGACGGCCTTTAGGTAGCGTCGTCAATACGGTGGTCTCGTGCTGAAGTCATTTAAAAACCGTTCTCTTGAGTTTGTCCCGCGTCTCGCCCTAGTCAGACGCAAAGGCGGCGCATAGCGGCCCTTTGTCTATCCTTTTCAGGCGGACTGTGTGTTGACTCTTTGTGTTGGCTGTGGCGTGTTGAGGTGACTTGTCAGAATGCAAGGAAGTTTGAGGGCTGTCTTTTTCTTCGGCGAGGATGGGAATTGCCGGGCGGTAACCGCTCACTTGTCCTCATAGGTTGCTCTGAGAGCCACCGCTACCAAGCCTCACTCCTCATTCTTTTTTCAAGACGATCGCTCTAGCTTGTAAAGCAGTCTGCAACCTTTGGTCCCGCAAAGTCCCGCTCCTTCATTTCAGATTTTCGATCAGCCGAATGAAGTGGTTCAGATTCTTGTCAATACCCTTTCACCCCATATTTCACCTCGGCAATGATCGTTTGTGCCTCGAGCGAGCAGCTCATTTGCAGTTTGACTTGAAGCTGTTTTCGTATGCTGCTGTATTGAAGAGATGGTCTAAAAATCTGCTCACTGAACTGGGAGGAACGGGCCCTTTAGCTATTTCACGTGCAATCACTGTTACTAAGACGGAGCTGTTCCGAACGGGGTGATGCAAGACCAGGAAAGTCGGATTCCATGAGTTCCCTGACATCCGGCGTCCTTTTTCAACGTTCTCCACATTCCGAAGAAAGCATGGCAATGTTTGTAATAAGCCCTGATTGTTTTCGGCTCAACGAGGCCGATTTAGTTTGGTTGCAGGCGCCATCAAACTGAAGTACCAAGCAAGGACTGGGCTTTGCTCGACTTTTCAGAAGCTCGAATTGTAAACATGAAGCGCGAAAGGGTTTTTGCAAACACAGAAGTATCGCAGCACCAGATTGACTGATTGAACCTCCCCGCCAGTTCAGGTTTCCGCTACCTGTTGAGTCGGGTCCCTTTCTCATTTCTCCTCCTTTTGAGAGGAAAAAGACAGCGCAGGTGGCTAAGATACAAGCGAATGCTGAGCGGTTTGCTCTCAGCACTGATCTTGGAGGAGAGAGGCCATGACGTTGTGATCTATCTGCTTGGGTTGCAGCTGGTGTCTCTGCAGGCACTCCACTTATAGCATGCCAAGTGCGTGCCGGTGTCTTCATCTTCGGTTGTCAACGCTCTGATTCTTCTTTTCTGAATTGCCCGGAGACAATTTGCGACTTGTTTCTCTCCCTTAGTATCTCCCAAGCACACCTCTTTCAGCATTATGTGCAGCTTTTGGTTAGTAGCAAGCCCAAGTTGATCGAAACTTGGTAATCGGCAAACGCCAGTCGCTAGGAGGAGCCGCGAACGGCCCTCCAAACCGTCAGCTGCCGTCTGGTCCCGACAGCGGTTTACTCTTGACCCAAAAAGTTGTGCTCTCAGGTTATGAGCCCCGTGCAAAACTTCTGATCAAAGCCTAGCGAGCATGTTAAGTGAACCTCGCTGCTCTCTGTACGTCGGCCCCGAGTCGGATGCTATTATAGTCACCTTTCTCAACGAGATTGTCTTCTTCGCACTTGACACGAAGGCGTTTGCCATCTGAGCACGCACCGAGAGCTGTGTCAAGCAAGCACCGGATCAGAGGTGATGACTGCCCTTCTTCTGAAGGAACGGGTGTGCTGGTTGGGGCAGCTTGTGTCGATCTCGTGCGCCGAGGCTGATTGACCGCCAAGTTGGCTACTTGCTACTTTCTTCGCCAAGGAGACTGGTTTCATCCATAAGTGCTGATTGTCTTGTTTTGTGGCTCGGATTGAGGCGGCCAGGATAAGGCCCAGTCTTCGGGGTTGCATGCCCCATACAAGCTTTGTTCTCGGGGCAATAGAATCCACTGATGTCATCTGATTGCCGTTTCGGTGCACACGTCTCTGCCGACCTCGCAGCTTGCCCGGCCTTGTCGAAGGCACTGAACCAAAATTGTCGCGGAAACTCGTAGAGAGATGTGACTCAGCGGGTTCATCGGCACCGTAATTGCAAGATTTGAAACTGTGAGTGAACATTTTCCCACTGTCAAATGTTGGACCTTAGAATGTTCTGTCCTCTTCGGACCATACCGCTGACTGGAAAGTCTTCTGTGAAGCCGGCAGATCCGAATAGAGGAGGCGTAATGTGGAAGATCCTGTGTAAATACTGAGATGTGTCTATATGTTGGCACTTTAGTCCCGGCTTGTGCATGGTCAGTTCGATTGGTTGCATTGGAGGACCTTCCGGCAGGCGCGTGTAACAAAAGCAGATGATCAAAAAGCCATACGAAGGATCCTGTGAAGCAGTCGTGCGAAGTGAGGCGTCCTTGCTGCAACGAGCGATGCTTTTGGCAAAGATGAACTCGCTTGGGCAGTAATGCTCATCGTTTGTAAGTCACAGATGCCACAAGCTGGCTTTCTCGTCAATTTTCTTTCAGGCTATGTATGTTGGGAGTTGCGATTCAGTCGTGGACGCGTGTTCCTGCGCACAAAAGGCCTCGGACTCTACTGAGTCGTGTAGAGCGTGAGGGTGCCTTCCGCTTTTCTTAGACGATTGTCGTTGATTCCCTGCTGATCGAAATGACCACTTTAACGGTGCTCGAGCCAATCTGGTAAACGTCGAGCTCGCTTCTCTGGCAATCATTGCCTCTGAAGTTTGGTGCTTTGTGCCTTGAGAACGACATGGCCTCTTCTGCAACGGACGCTGGCAAAGTCAAGTCACCCTTCGCTTCCCTTGAGCTCTTGTAGTTTCAACACGCCTTACCAATTTTGAACCACATTTTACGAGTGCCGGGAAACAACCCTCGTCAACCTATGTGGGTCTGCCACGCGTATCCGTCCCCTTGTTTCCAGTGATTCTGTGTGCCCGCGTGATCAAACTTTTCATTGACGGCGAGGATGTGCAGTCCGCTTGAGTACGGCGGACTCGTCAAAGGGTGCTCTCGGTCTGACGCCGTTTGGCCTTGCATCTGCGGCGAGCTGTGTTTACTACGATGCTTCAGTGCTGCTTTAGCGATCCGTGTAATTGAAACTCGTATTTCGTTCCTCTACCCTTGGCACTTGTATGAAGCTCGACTCTGTTGGGCTTGGATACACAGACATAGAGTGTCTATACTCTGGCGAGGATGGAATACTCAGTGAGACTTAATCGCTCAGGGTTGGACTCCTATCCTGACCGCCTTGGTATAGTGCGGAAGAATTATTCCCAGCTGAGCAACCGCGTCAGTCGTTAACGTGACAAGAGTGTTGCCTAATGTCTCCGATTCTCTCTTAAGCTTCTCGATTTGTCTCGACGCTTCTTGACTTGCAGGAAAGATGGCACCGGCAACGCATGAAGAGGCTGCCCTCTACGCTTACGTTACTTTGCTCAAAGTATGGGCTTGTGAAAAAGGCCCTGGTTCCTGAGAAGTCGCCTTCGCAACCGTGGTTCACTGCGGGCAAATATCAAGGGCCAGAACGTTCAAAACGGCTTCGTTTTCACGAATTTCGTCAGAGCTGGTCGAAGCGACTCACCTTGGTTGAGCACTTGCGTATGCCACGCTAGTGTCATTGCCTCACCCCAGCAAATCGCACTTCAAACCTATCACCTGCATGTATCCATCTTAAAAATGTACCGATTTTCCGATGCTTGTGCAGAGCTGACCAAGATGAAGTCGCTGAACCTGAGCCAGAACAGCCGGCTGACGGACGACTCGCTGAAGTCCATCTCCCACCTTAGCGGCCTCCAGTCGCTCAACCTCATGCATTCCAAAATCACCAACGATGGCATTCCCCACCTTAAGAGTGAGTTCGCCTCTCCCGCTAACGTTTTGCGGACACCTTTCTTCTCAAGTATGCTTTTTGCGGTTGGCTTCCATGCTCTATCTGAATGGCCCCCAGTCGCGCAATCCGGTGCACTCCAAGATTGCAAACGAGGGCATTCCCTTCTGAGAGTGAGTCCGCTTCTCCATTGTCGCGTGCAAACGCTTCCTCTGACCAATATTTGAAATTTGCAACTCGAGCGGCCTCTCGTCGCTGAACCTGGTGCGTAGTAAATTCACCAACGAGGGCATCTTCCCCCTTTACCGTGAGTTAGCCTCCTAGGATCGTACACGTTTTGCGAACCCTCTTCTTTTGAAGAATGCTTCTTACAACTTGCTTTCAGCTCTTACTTGAGTGGCCTCCAATCGCTCAGTCCGATGCAATGCGAGATCACAACCGACGGCATACCTCACCTCAAAAATGAGTCCGTTTTTTGGTTACTGCTGTGCATATAGGTTTGCTTGGTTTGCGGATATGGAAACGGTGGCCATGCGTCGGCGAGGAAGCCCATTGAACCGCTGCGCAAGTCGTGCTAACCACCGGGTTTCTGACTTGCCCTGACAACTCCCCTCACTATGTTTCGTCAGTTTAGCAAAAGCAAGATCTAGCAATAATAAGCTTCGACATGACGACTAATTCCCAACCCACATGATTTCCTGCTCCGCATCCATACCCACCCTAAACCCCCCGAACTAACCATCCGTCCCAGGCTGGTTAGCTGACTATCCCTACAGCTTACTTGTGAACTGAAGATTTGTCTCCTCCTTTTCACCCGCAGGCCTGCAGTCGCTGACGTCACTCGCGCTCTACAACTGCAACATCAGCCCCATCGTAGTCGAGAAGCTCCAGAGCAACCATCTTCCGCGCCTGACCGTCATCGGCCTCGAGTGACGTCACCTTTTCCTACATCATCGGTGTGACGTCATCTTCTCCACCATCATCGGCCTCGAGTGACGTCGTCCTCCCTCCAACCGTTGACCTCAATGACGTCACCTTTTTTGTTTGCGCGGGCAGCATGCTCATCCAATTCAGGATGAGAATCCGGAGCGAACCGACGCGCTTCTTCTGTGTAGCGCTTCTTCTGTGTAGCTCTAACGGAACAGACACGCGGCGCTATACTTGTACTTTTCACGCTGTTCTCACTGGAGACGCAACTAGAAATGGTTGGACAGTGTATCGTTCGTTCCTCCGGGAATCTTGGTAGGCATTGAGCTGTAGTAGAGGAACTGCTCAGTCGCACGTGTAGCTATAGGCTAGTGTTAGGCCGGGTGACGGCTTCCCGGGGGGGATCCCGCTGCTTGCCTTACTCTCGGGTGTACAAACATAGGAAGGGCCGCGGCCCTTTGGCTGGTGGTCTGTAGAGAAACATCCGTCCTTGGCAGTTGTCTCGTTACTTACGTGGCGTGAGTCGTGGGGTAGTTAATTGTAACTTTAAGTAGAATCAGGTGTACATCATACAACAGTTCGGCCAGATACGTACTATAGCAGGTTTGCCACAGTATAGCCCGACGTTGTGAACAGCCTCAATCCTTAGATACCGTGTGGCTCGTACCATACCTTGGTTCGCGGCCCGTATACTCAATTTGACAAAGGCTTGCACCAAGGACCATACTCATTGCGGAAAATCGTCGGGCTCAAATAGTTTCTTGTTCTAATGAAAAACTGGCCATCATTGAGATCGACCCGTCCGCGGCGGCAGGCGCGCCTTCAAGTCACATTCCGACGTACGTGTTAAAATTGGATTACGACTTGCTGACGCGCGAGACCACTGGCCTTGTACGGTCGCCGCGGCATGACGACGGCACCGGCAGCGAGCAATCGGACCCGGGGCCGGCGTTCGGAGCCCGGCAAAAGTCTAACCCGGGCTCCTCACGTTCGTGCGCCGACCATATTGCGACTTGCAATACGACCGGGAGAGGTCGACTTTTGAAACTGGTCACATTGGCTGATACCGTCTGACGAGTCCGACTCTGATCGAATCGGCCGCAGATCA